AAATCCAGACACAGGGTAATAAGCTATATGATGGGCCAGGTTTTTAAAACTACATAAAACAGCAAGAGGAGCTCAACATATTTTGTCTTTTTTTCACAAGTCCTTTAAGTACATGTCTCAGTTACTTTTCTCTAGTTGCTGGGACAAAATATCCAACACCCAAAATTAAGGAAAAAAAGGTTTATTTAGTTCATAATTAGTGGAGGTTTCAGTCCATACTCAGCTGGCTCCGAGGCAGAGTGACACATGGCAGAGAGCAACCATTCTTGGCTGCATCAGCAAAGAGCAGAGAACGAAGGGGCAGCAGCTCAAGTACTTAGCAAGCCTTTCTCCCCTCCTCACATTGTAATGCAGATCACCCACCCATGGGCCAAGGTGCAGCACCCATACCTGCAATCCCAGCATTAGACCAAGAATCAAGAGCCAGCCAGATAGCTCAGTGGACTAAAGCACCTGCTTAGGCAGATGCAGCAGCCAGGCTTCATTCCCCGGCATGCCATGCCAGCCCCGCCCCTGGGGCACACTGAGACAGCAATTGAGACTAGACATGGTGGTGTGCACCTGTAATCCCAGCTCGGTGGGAGGCTGAAAACAGGAGAATCACAAGTCTGATCTACATAGTGGGACCCTGTAGACCTTGTAGACCCTGTCCTAAAATACATTTTTTAAAAAAGAAAAAATCACTCTAGAAACTGCCCCATGATTGCATGAGGCTTTGGGAGGGCAATTAGACACAAAACATAACATTCTGTCCCTGAACCCCCAAAGATTCATACACATCCCTTTATGCAAAGGACATTTTAGTCCATTTCTAAGAGTTATCAAAGTCCTGCAGTTTCAGTATTGCTGAAAAGTCCAAGTCCCAAGTCTCCTCCAAAATCTAAAGCAAACTCCCCCCCCCCCGTACAAATGAGAAGCTAAATACTTCCAACATTCAATGGCACAAGATAAATATTACAATTCCAAAAGGTACACACAGCAAGATACCAAGTATTGGGAGCAAAGCAAGTCCAAAATCCAGAAGGGCCAACACTAAGTCCTGTAGTTCTGTGTGGAACATTCAAAGCAATCTGTGGCAAATTGTGAGCTTCATGTGGCTCCCCTATGACAATGCTGCTAGTAGCTCCCCTGACTTCTCTGCTAGGCATGCTTTGCTCCCTCCTTGCAGTTTCCCTAAGATGATCCACGTTCCTGGCTTTTCCAAACTTCCGGGGTTTCCACTGAATAGGCTTCTCACCTGCAATTTTACAAACTGTCCTCTCAGCTAAGGGAGACAGATTTGCTCTCTGCGGCCATTGTTGCCACTACTCCCTTTTGCTCTTGTTCTCTTGCTCTTTGCTGCCGCCATGAACTGCCACTCTGTCATGTTCCACTCTGCCTTGGACCAGCTGAGTATGGACTGAATCCTCCAGTAACTCCCGCCAGACCCAGTGCAGCTCGCCCTCTGAGTGAGAACTTCCGCCGCGCCTTGGGCCCTCCATATCCGACCAACCCCAGGCCCTGCGAGTATGGGGGAGAGCTTCTGCTCTGTCCTGCGCCTGCCCGCCTCTCCAGGCCCAGGCCCACCACGTGAGAGAGTCACTTCCCCGGGTTCTCCAGACCTCCCCTGCCAGCCAGACCCAGCGCAGCCCACCCTCTGAGTGAGAACTTCCCCCACGCCTTGGGCCCTCCATATCCGACCGACCCTAGGCCCTGCGAGTGTGGGGGAGAGCTTCTGCTCTGTCCTGCGCCTGCCCACCTCTCCAGGCCCAGGTCTGCCGTGTGAGAGAGGCACTTCCCTGCATTCTCCAGACCTCCCCTGCCCGGCCAGACCCAGCACAGCCTGCCATCTGAGTAAGAACTGCTGCTGTGCTCTTGGGAGTCCTGCAGACC